CACAATTTGAAATCCAAGGAGAGAGTCTGTCCCCCAAGTCAAACCACAGAATGTCATCCTATCATTCTAAAGGGTCAGCACTAAGAGGTGTAGTGGGTTCTGGTTACTGTGCAAATTCATAGGACTTTCCATAAGTGGAAAGCAGACAGCCTCTTGATGAACTTTCTCCCTCTCCTGTCCTCTTCCCTAGTAAACTCATCAAGAAACTGCACTTTGTGCACAGAACTGGACTCCAAAACTTGTGAGTAATTGATTCCTCTCCTCTATTTTGGAAACTTAGGGACCAAAGACTCTTGCATTCATGTTTTGGCTCAGCTCTCTTTCAGCTCTGTAGTCTTAACATCATATCCCCTCTGATTCTTAAACTCTACAACATCAAAATTTTTGGGAGCAGCATGGGGGCTGCACCTGAGGCCTCCTACAAGTGAAAAGGAGAATATATTTTGCTGTCTTACCAAGAAAAAAGGGGCCGTTCGAGTTCTGTTTCCTCTGGAGAGGGAGTGATGGGTCATGACATAGGAAGCAAGTGAGCAGAAGGGAAGACTTTTTTAAAATATTATCTGTGGAAGAATAGACTTGATTTCTTTTTTCCCTTTGGGAGAATTTGTTGTCTGTTTCAAATGTGTTGTCGATGTAGAAGTTGCTAAACAAATTAAGTGAGCAGTGGTCTCAATCTCAGATTAAGAGACTGAATACAGACCTTTACCCGGTGTCCTACAGATTACTGCCACTGGCAGAGTGTTCATATATTTTTGGATGTGTGAACATCTGCTGGAGCGTGGTCAGCTTACTAGTAACAACACCCTGGAAGCTGACACTCGTGCCCCCAACAGTTACCACTTGCCTATATCCCCTTGACTAGGGGTGGGACTTCACATCTACCTCCACTCTTCATGCTGGGATTTTGTCTTGTTTGATCTTGCACCACTCTTGGGCATGCTATGACAACCTCTTCTTCACTTCATATATTCAACTGCCCTGCAGTGTACAGAGACAGTTTCCCTATAATTATCTCTTCTGTCATCTCTTTCACAGTGGTGCTGAACAACTGGAGAAGGATATGAGATATAAACATCTGATTTAGGGGCAAGATTTCTACAGTCTTATATTCTCCACAGCTTTCCCAGTTGTGGGTATCTGAAATAATCACCATCTATAACAAACATAGACTTCACTGTTGAGAGTTGAAAATGCATTAATGGGAGCGGGGCGGTAGTGGTGCGTGTCTTTAATCCCAGCACGCGGGAGGCAGAGGCAGGCAGATCTCTGTGAGTTCGAGGTCAGCCTGGGCTACAGAGTGAGTTCCAGGAAAGAGGCCAAAGCTGCATAGAGAAACCCTGTCTTGAAAA